TTTTTTTTTTTTTTTTTTTAAGAGTAGTTGATTGAGCCCTGGCCAGTTTGCTTAGTGGTTGGAGCGTTGGCCCGGGGCCTGAAGGGCCTCCCATTTGGAATCTGGTCAAGGGCACGTGCCTCGGTTGCAGGCTTGATACCCGGCCACTCCTGGGGAGAATGGGAGGCAGCTGATCTGTGTGTCTCTCTCACATCAATGTTTCTCTCTCTCTCCCCTCCTTTCTACTCTCTCTGAAAAAGCAATGGAAAAAATATCCTCAGGTGAGGATTAAAAAAAAAAAAAAAAGAATAGTTGATTGAGTTTTAGAGAGAGGAAGGGAGAATACAACATCAGTCAGCTGCCTCCTGCCTTCCCCCTACCTTGGGTCCATCCTGAAACCTGGGCATGTGCCCTGACCCAGAATTGAACCAGCAACCTCTCCGGTGCTCAGGATGATGCCCAATCAACTGAGCCACACCGGCCAGGGCCATTTGTCATTCTTGAGAGTAGGTGGTGAGGGATATGGGGGTAAAAAACAATGCATCCTGCTGTAAGCTGGTACATTTCAAAGGAAAGTTACTTTGGAAATTGATTTTAAAATATAAAAAGTGATATCAGGCCAGCCAAATAAAGATCAGAGAATAATCGTGTCATACTTGTGTTGAATATGCCATTAAATTAAACCTTGTCGAAGGTGGTGTGATGTCAGTTTTGCTAGCAGCTAAAGGCACTCTTTACTAGTTATGAGCACTTGGCTAAATTACTTGATCTCCCCAGTTTGTTTTCTCAACAGTAAAAGGGGCGGTAGTGGGGCGGGGGAGGTGATGGCTCTACCAGCCTCACATGGTTTTGAAGGATTACATGGGATACTTGTGCAAATCCTGAAGCATGCTCAGGCTTCCCCACCTCTCTCACAACTTTTATTTCAGTACAGATATACCTTGTTTTATGAGTTTGTTCCTGGAACATTGTGAATAAATCTGACTTTACAGAATGTATTCATGTATTACGGGAGCTTCTATTTAGAACACTTTGAATAATTTGGAAATAAATCATGTCATTTATCTTTTTTGTAAATCTGGGTTTTTGCATACAGCAGTGGGTTTTCATAAGGTGGTGAGGGTACATTTATTAATTTAATGAACAGTACACCAGATGAATGGTAGCTTTTTCTTGGTTTGCTTGGGCAACTCATGAATTCTCATGTTACAGGTCAATAAAATAAGAGCTGGTTGGACTGGATGGTCTCTAAAGTTCTTTCTAGTTTTGGCCTTCTCAGAATTTGTGACTTTATCTTGGGGCATCACAGCTCATAAATTTTTATAGAGCAGGAACTGTGCTTTTTATATGGCTTCCTTGGAAACATTGGGTGCCCTAATAAGTGGCAAGTAGAACACTATAAATATAAACGGAAATGCTGAAGCGACTTGCAGGAGAAGCGAACATTTTAAATCATTTTTCCCAAATTGAAAAACAAATGTAGGTTTTTCTGTCTGATGTTCATATGTATAATTGGGATCTAAAATAAAATACAGAGCCACAGTGCAGTGTGAAGAGCAGATGTGAATGACTGAGGGCTGTGCATCAGCTGAGTAGGCAAGGTACGGGGTGTCTCACATGAGGCAAACAGCCTGAATCATTTTCTTTAGCCTTTTTATTTCAGTCAAGTGCCTAATGCTGAATCAAATAGAGAAGTTTCCTAAATCTAGAATAAGCGATAACAAAAGGCATAAACTATCTGCCCAATCTTTCTCTTCAAAGTTGTTGCCTTTTTTAAAAAAAATAAAAATTTGCCCTGGCTGGTGTGGCTCAGTTGGTTGGAGCAGCATCCCATGCAACGAAAGGTCGTGGGTTTCATTCCCTGTCAGGGTATGTACGGGAGGCAACTGGTCCATGTTTCTCTCTCTCTCAAATCAATAAAAACATATCTTTGGGTGAAGATTAAAAAAGAATGATATAAAAATAAAAATAAAAATTTGGATTCTTGCCAGAGAGAATTCAAAGTCAGAGAAACTGCAGTTAGTGATTATAATTACTGAGGAATGAATTTCAACAAAACAAGTGATTTAGGGAAAAGGGTCCAAGTTTTTACTCTGAAGTTTTAAAATGAATTATTTAAGTTAAAGTAAATAATTCCATTGGTATCTATACAACAATATGCTCCTAAAAAGCTCTGTAACTTGATTTTTTAAAAATGGAATTATGTGTGTGCATTAGGGAAATTTAACAGTCCTATGGAAATAGAGAAAGGAGATTCAAGTTGTCAAGGGGTCACTAAGAAGTGACTTCTAATGAGTATGGGATTTCTTTGAGGCGTCCTAAAATTAAATAATGGTGATAGCAGCATGACTTTAAATATATTAAACACCACTGAATTGTAAAGAATAATAATGGTGATGATGGTAGTAATGGTGATGGGGTCTGCAAATGCCATTTTATTTGTCAAGTGGCCTTGGGAGATTTACCTAACTCGGTGTTAGGTAGCAATAAAACGGGCATAATAATACCTGCCTCCATAAAAATAAAGATACAATTAAAAATTGTGATGCCTTTTAAAAATCTTATGGTGAATACACTTGTAAAGTGAGTCTTTTTTGAAAAAAATTGATAATTGTTTCTTTATATCGTTTGTACAATTTTAATCTTCTAGATCGTGGTTGCTTAAAGTGAGGCAGCCCTGCATTCATTCGGGTGCTTGAGTGAAGGCCAGACGCTGTGCCCAGAGAGCAGGGGCACCGTCCTGGGACCATCCCTCTGTGGCACTGGGTCCTTAGCATCTCCTACTCCAAGTGTGGCTCCCTCATCACACTGTTCTCTTGAGGGCAGGGCTCAGGTCTCATTCACATGGGGAACGTGCTGGCAGCTGGCCCCTGAGTTTATGCACAGTAGGATAGTAGGTACTCTGTAAGTGTCCTTTAGCTGAGTCGGCCTAAGCTTTTGGTAATGAGGAAATGGAAAGGAAAGCAAGGGAGTTTCATGAACTCCCTTAGGCTAAGTCTTGGGCTTGGCACTTTATATATATATTTTCATTGAATCCTCACTACAGTGTTAAAAATATGTCACTTCTGTTTTATAGGTGAGGAAAACGGTCAATATAAATATCTTTTAAAATGTTACTAGACTTCAACTGAAGGCCTTCTGATATGCAGGATCCTACATTTTAGTCGCTCTGGAGTTCTAGTCTCTGCCTTTTCCCTCCCTGGCAGACACTGTGGGAAGTGCTTTCCACGGGCGGGCTTATTTGCTCTGCAATAAAACCAACGAGATAGGCATTCATACTGTTCTCATTTGAAAGATAAGAAAACTAGATGTAGATGGTAATTACCTTCCACCGTCACAGGGTGACAGAGCTGCATTCTGCATGTCACTGTGCGATTTTAGCCACTGTGGAGCTCAGTATTTCTCAGCACTGTGTCAGCACATGATTACCTGTGCATCTTACACACACATGCACGCACGCACACGCACACGTACACGTACCCCTCCTGGCCTTTCCCCCAGACCTGTCAGAGTGGTTCTCAGCTCTGGCTGCACATTAGAATCAAGTGGGAAGCTTTCAAAAGTACAGATTCCAGGGCCCTACCCCAGACCAACCCAATCTGAACTGGGACGGGAGGCTCCCCAGACACGTGNGCACACGCACACGCACATGTACACGTACCCCTCCTGGCCTTTCCCCCAGACCTGTCAGAGTGGTTCTCAGCTCTGGCTGCACATTAGAATCAAGTGGGAAGCTTTCAAAAGTACAGATTCCAGGGCCCTACCCCAGACCAACCCAATCTGAACTGGGACGGGAGGCTCCCCAGACACGTGGTTTTTAACGAGCGGCTGATGCAGAGTTGCGTGGACTGTGCCAGGAACTATCTAGAGCTCGGGTTCCTTCTCCCGTCACTCATATTGAGGCTAATGGCTTTAATTAGCTCCTTGAATGAGGTAAATGTCTTACATGGTTATTTATGGATTCCTGCAACCTGTAGCCCTGTCCCTTGAAGGTAAGAAGTGCTAAAAGAAATCACTTAAATGAATATAAAGCAGTTTTCAAGGAAGCCATAGGCAGTGGAGCCTGAAGAGGAGAAACGGCTCTGCTTCAGGATAGCTCTGTCCGAGAGTGGCTTACGCTTGGAGGTCTTTATTTTATTGCCTGATGGGTGTATTTAAGAATCTGTATACTTGGCACTGCTATTTAATATTAATACCACCAAAAGAGGATGAAGTTATTTTTAATAGATAGCATTATATTAATGTTTAGAAATTACATCCCTCCAGTCACTAGCTTTGGGTACATGACTTGGTGAAGGTGAAAAGACAGGATATGCAGGCTGAGTTTCATCACCTGGGAATGTAGGGAATATGGGAAACCTGGAAGCTCCAGGAAGATGGGGCAGCTGCTCACTTTGAGCTTCCTCCAGTGACTGAGCAGAACCTGTGGAGGACACGCTCAAGAAAACCAGATGTTTTAAGTGACTCATTTCAGAGGGCCTCAGGAGGCATGTCAGAAGAAATTCTTCTGTCTTGCAGATTTTTTCCTAAGTCACCGTGAAAGATTCCCATTCCTCACATAGATCACTGAAGAGGTTCAATTGAATTTCATGAATATTTGTTGAGTGCCTAATATGTTTGTGTTAAAGGTTGTGGAGAATAGTAGACTAGCAGTGTCCTCTGTCTTTTCATTATTGCTCTTACCCCTCCCCTCACCCCACCCCAACAAAGGCCCCTTTTTAGATATATTTTTCCTAGCCACCCACCCCCGATATACTGTATATGGTTTATGTACTGTACATACATCTGTGCTTTACACGTACAAAATAGTAAGATTTCCCCCAACCCAGGAACCAGTTTTTGCCCCCACAGGGGAGCTGAGGTAATGTCCCTGTCATCAACACTGGATACGGATCTTCGATTGACAGTCGCCTTGGAGATTCCTGGGCAGGAGAATACATACACATTTCCAGGAGACCTGAGCACATCTCCATCCTTGGGCTTTGCTGCCTAAGCCGACTAGGGTCCTGACTAAAGTCTTCTTGGTTAAGTGAAGATCCCAGAAAGAACATGACTGACTTCCCACAGTTGGCTAGGAAGGTTGTGTCCTAGTTCTGGAATGAGTGTATCAGTGATCCTTCCTGGTGGCCTGCTGTGCAACAGAAGGGTGAGATGAGGCCGGACATTCTCTGTGAGGTGTACAGTATTGCTAAATGTGTGGGATCCATGGGTCATGAAAACTGAGCAGACAGTGGTAATGGAATCTATCCCCCTGTTCTGAACTGTCAATATAGCAAGTCAGAGTGGCCTTTATCTCAGGTTTTTGTGCCTTTTTTTCTTTTTGTTATGCAGGAAGCATCCAGGATGCGGGAACATTGTGACATTTGCACAATTTTTATTTATTGCTGTGGAAGGCTTCCTATTTGAAGCTAATTTGGGGAGGAAGCAGCCGGCTATCCCAATAAGGTATGTACATTGAAGTCTCTTTTAGCCCTTTTCGTCTTTTTAAAGTTAAGAGCTTTTCTGGTATTTATATAAAAGGAACCTGAGACATCCTTTTATAAGATTTGTATCAAAGATATCTGTAGAGTTATTTTCTGAATTTAATATGTTGTGAAACTCCAGGGAGCCTATATTTAGAATAAAATTCCTGCCACAACACTTCAAATAACTGTGATGGAGACAACAATGTATATTTAGGGTGTCCCAAAAAGTATATATACACTTTGAATAATTATTAACTCCAATGAGTTAAATCTGAAAAGAAACATCAATTGAACTATCAGAAAAAAATGTGTATATATTTTTTTGGGACACCCTGTATATGTAAGAGTGTGTGTGTGTGTGTGTCTGTCTGTCTGTCTGAGTGGTATTCAGTTAAAGGCCTAGTGTGATCACCAGTTTTTTAAATAGTTATGGGTGCTTTCCTCATGTTACCGTATATGGAAGGAGTGGTATCACTGCTTCTCTTAAGAAACTAATGGCTTTTGGAACTAAATAAAGGTGGTAGTTATACAATATTGCAAACGTACTAAATGCCACTGAATTGTTCACTGTAAAGTGGTTGAGAAAATGATTGGCAAGCTAAGGCAAAATTACTGATTCCAGACCTCCATTAGTCCAGATTTACATAACTGTACTCATAGGGCCAAATAGAAAACAGCAGTTCTTATAATAAGCAGTGTATTGAAAACTCAGTATTCTTGCTGTGAGAGACTTGAAATAAATGTAGCCCATCCAGTTGTGACTTGGATAGGATAGTGTTACTTAATCCCTTTGAGGGGGACCTTGTGGTATGAATGTTTGGATGCAGGCACTGGTTAAGGCTCGTCCTTGTTGGTATTATTTTGCAGCATTCCTGAGTAGCTTGCTGTAGAAAATCTGGCTGAATTTTGTTATTAATATTGTATTTTTTAATTTCCCAATGTGATGCTAAATATCCGAGTACTTTTTTGTTTGTTTCTGTTGGCTTTAGTATCTGCATAAAACTTTTTGCTCTCAGCACCAGCATGTACATCACAGGGGGAGCTCCAGCATTTTCTGATTCCTCTGACCCTTTCTGTCTTTGCATTCTGGCTGCCGGCGCAGTTCAGGAACGTACTCACTCTCACCATAGCTTTTATAATAGTATCCTGGCTGTATGACCTCCTGCCTGCCACTCCTCATCCTCTCTTTCAGCTTCTTGCCTTTGTGTCATGGGTCCCTCTCTCACAAGTGCCCGGGGGTCATCAGAGCAAAGCCCGAAGTCCCTAACCTGCCCTTAGAGGCTCACCATGACCCTTCCAGCGGCCATAGTCCATGCGTCCCGTTTGTGCTGGCTCTTTCTTTCCTATCTGTGAAGCCATAGTGAAAACCTTGCTCATGTCATTCATTCCCGTGAGCAATTTCTAGGCAGTGCTGTGTTGGCAACAGTGAGGAATATAGTTGGAATTGATTATCCTGTATGACCTCGGTGAACTCACTCTATCTCTAAATGGAATCTTTTCAAGATAGGACTAAGAAAATTTGGCAAGAAACCTTGTGAAGTCACCAGTAGTATGTGATTTAAAGCTGTGAAACAGCTATTGCTAGTAATTTTTTCACGTGTGTGATACCGTGTTCTGCGTTGATAGGGGAGCTAACTTGAGACTTGGTGCTATCACATTCTTTAGATGTGGGAAGATGAAGAACCAGGGGGGACCTGTGGGCATTTCATGACAAACATGGGACCACTTATTTTACCTTTGTCCTGCATTCTTTAGCCATTTATTTTAAATATTATGTTGAATCAAATGAAATTGTTATTATTCAACCTTTTTGACCGACAAAAATAGGTAATTTCATATGATTGAACCTGATATATATGAAAGGAATCCTAATTTTATATGGTTTAACGTAGTATGTATGGAGCAGGCATCTTAAATATTTTGTAGTTCAAAATGGGAGCATACAGATGTAAAATTATTTAATTCATTTGCTCATAACTGTTCACTTGTATTTATCCCTTTATCTTTCTAAGGTATTAGAGTTACTGGATTTTCTTCTTAGTGTTTTTGTTTGGTTGGTTTTGGTTTTTTATTTATTTAAAGACCTATAACTCTTAAAAATAGGGGCCCTAATTTTTAAATACAAATTTACACAAGTTAAATGATGTCCTCATTGATTTGGAGGCCAGTGGTTCAGAATGTGGGATAATTATTAACAGTTGCTAGGCTGAAAGTAACCCATGACTTAGCAAATATTTTTTTTAGAAATAGTGAAAATTAATCATATAAACAAGTGTATAGAAGAAATGTTAGAGAGAATTAACAATTTTCAAGTTCTTTAGAAGTATATGAAAATTATACAAAGAACTGATACAATAATAAAAATTATTCACTTTTTTTTCTTAAGATTAAATTTATTGAGGTAGCATTGGTTAATAACATAAATTTCAGGTGTACAACTTTGACATCTGTATACTCTATTGTGTGTTCACCACCCAAGTCTAGGCTCCTGTCACTGTATATTTTACCCCCTTTACCCTCTTTGTCTTCTCCACTTCCCCTTTCCCCTCTGGTAACCACCATTCTGTTGTCTGTATCTTAGAGTTTGGGGTTTTTATTTGTTTTTTTCTTATGTCCTACATATGAGTGAAATCATACAGTTCTTGTCTTTTTTTTCTTATTTCACTTAGCATAAATATTCTCAAGATCCATCCATGTTGTCATAAATGGCAATATTTTTCCTTTTCATGGCTGAGTTGTATTCCATCGTATTTATGTCCCACATCTTCTTTATCCAATCGTCTAACAAAGGACAAGGTTGCTTCCATGTCTTGGCTATTGTGTGTGTGTAATGCTACAGCGAATGTAGTGGTACATACATCTTTATAAATAAGTGATTTCCAGCTTTTTAGGTAGATACCCAGAAGAGGGACCGCTGGGTCATATGGTAGCTCTAATTAATAGAGGAACCTCCATACTGTTTTTCGCAGCGCCTGCAGCAGTTTACGTTCCCACGGGTAGTGTGTGAGGGCGCCTTTTCTCCACATTCTCTCCAGCCCTTAACTGTTGATTTACTGATGGCAGCCATTCTGACAGGTGTGAGGTGATATCTCATTGTGGTTTAATTTGCATTTCCCTGATTAGTGATCTTGAACATCTTTTTATATATCTGTTGCCCATCTGTATGTCCTCTTTGTAGAAATGTTTATTCACATCCTCTGCCCATTTTTTAATTGGATTTGTTTTTTGTTTGTTTGTTTTGGTGTTATGTTGTATGAGTTCCTTATATATTTTGGATATTAACCCCTTATAGGATGTATCATTTGCAAATATCTTCTCCCATTCAGTAAGCTGCCTTTTTGTTTTGTGGATAGTTTCCTTCGCTGTGCAAACATTTTTAGTTTAATGTAGTCACATTTGTGTATTTTTTATTCTGTTTTTCTTGCCTGAGGAAACATATCCAAAAGGAAACTGCTAAAAGCAATGTCAAAGAGTTTACTGCCTATGTTTTCTTCTAGGAGTTTCATTGTTTCAGGTCTTATATTTAAGTCTTTAACCCATTTTGAGTTATTTTTGTATATGGTATAAAAAAGTGGTCCAGTTTCTTTTTAGTGTGTCCAGTTTTCCCTACACCTCTTACTGAAGAGACTGTCTTTACCCCATTGCCTCTTTTGTTGTAGATTAATTGATCATATAAGGAAGGATTTATTACTGGGCTCTCTATTCTATTCCATTGATCTATATATCTGTTTTTATGCCAATACAATACTGTCTTGATTACTGTAGCTTTATAATATAGTTTGATATCAGGTAGCATGATACCTCTCTCTTTGTTCTTTCTCAAAATTTCTTTGGCTGTAACTACGGAATTCATTTATTCTAATAGGGTGTTTTTTTTTATGTCATGGTTATGTCATTTGCAAATAATGAGAGCTTTACTTCCATTTTGAATTAGATGCCTTTTACTTATTTTTCTTGTCTGATTGCTGTAGGTAGGATTTCCAATACTATGTTAAATAGAACTAGTGATAGTGAGCGTCCTTGTCTTGTTCCTTATCTTAGAGGAAAAGCTTTAAGCTTTTCACCAATGAGTAAGATATTACCTGTGGGTTTGTCATATATAGCCTATGTTCCTTCTATACTCACTTTGTTGAGAGTTTTTATGTTGAATTTTGTCAAATGCTTTTGCTACATCTATTGAGATGGTCATCTGGTTTTACCTGTTATTTTGTCATGTGATGTATCATGATCAATTTATGGATGTGGAGCCATCCTTGCATTTCTGGGATAAATCCCACTTGATCATGATGTGTAATCCTTTTAATGTATTGTTGAATCTGGTTTGCTAATATTTTGTTGAGAAGTTTTACATCTGTGTTCATCAAGGATATTGGCCTGTAATTTTCTTTTTTTTTGTAATGTCTTTGTCTGGTTTTGGTATCACGATAATGCTGGCTTCATAGAATGAGTTTGGAAGCATTCCTTCCCCCTCAATTTTTTAAAATAGTTTAAGAGGAGTAGGTGTTAATTCTTCTTTGAAAAGTTTGGTAGAATTAACGTGTGAAGCCATCTGGCCCTGGACTTTTATTTGTTTGGGATTTTTTTTTATTGCTTCAATTTCATTGCTAGTCATCAATTTAGATTTTGCATTTCTTCCTGGTTCAGGCTTGGAAGGTTATATACTTCTAGAAGATTTGTCCATTTCTTCTATTTTGTTGAATTTGTTGGCATACAATTGTTTGTATTATTCTTTAGTGAGTCTTTATATGTCAGCAGTATCACTTGTAAATTCTCTTTCATTTATGATTTTATTTATTTGGGCTCTCTTTTTCTTAAGGAGTTTGGCTAAAGGTTTGCAATTTTGTTTATCTTTTCAAAGAACCAGCTTTTAGTTTTATTGATCTTTTCTATTTTTAAAATGTCTATTTTGTTTATTCTCTGATCTTAACTATTTCTTCCTTCTGTTTACTTTGGGTGTTTGTTTTTTCTAGTTGCTTTAGG